TTATATATTTATTTAATAAATATAATCTATTTAATATAATTCAATTTATTCAATATACATTATATATTTATATATTTATTTAATGAATATAATCTATTTAATATAATTTAGTTCAATCTATTTGAATACAATCTAATTTATTTCTAATAATTTCTCTGACCGTTTTCTTCCGAACAAGGGAAGAAAAGGAGAAGAAAAGTTGACACAGTGGCGAGAAACGTGTGAAAAGGTGAAAGGGGCGTGGGTCGAGGAATATTCTGACCGCGACACGGTGATCTTGACCCGCCATCAGCCGAACGTAGAACGAACGTAGCACGGTTCTTCGTGAAACTCGACTCCTTCCTATCGTTCCTATCTGTCCCGGGCGAAACAGCATTTGCGAGGGAGATTGCATCGACTACGACGACGACAACCACCACCACGGGTCGGCAATTTATCGAGCGCGCGCAAACGCTTCCGGTCCCCTCCGGGTTCCCGTTGCTTCGACGCGTGCAATTCGCCCGCGAATCGCCGTTCTCGTTCGCGCGCCAGTATTTCCCCGCTTTTTAAAGGGAATAGCCTCGAAAGAACGACTCCCCGACAAGCCAATTTTCTCTTCAACCCCCGTACACCGGGTGTGTGACGCGGTTTAATCTGTAAATGGAGGCAACTGCGCCTCGGGCTAGAGTGGAAAATAGAGTGGAATCTGTTATTCGAACGCTCTACTGCTTCAACAAACTGCTATTTCGAACTGCCGTCTCTATCTATCTATCTTTTTCTCTCTCTCTCTCTCTCTCTCTCTCTTTCTCTTTCTCTTTCTCTTTTACCCTGTGATTGCGAGCCTCGGGATTTTTCTCTCGTATTTTTTTTTTTTCTTTTTCTTTTTTTTCGAACGATAAGGGCTCAAACAGAAAGAAAAAAAAAAATGTAGAAAAGCGATTTCGAGGGACATTCGAGAACTGGTGAAGTGAATTTTAGCGGATCCTCCAACGCACTGGTCCTCCAACGCCAAGAGATGTTCTTGCAAATCTCGAACGAGACTTTCGCGGACGAAGCGTGTCGAAAGACGTTTACGCAGATGATTCTAACTGGTCTGTAAACGTTTGTAAAGACCCGTGGAAACTTTTAATCCGCGAGGAAGAAGGGAGGGGAGGAAGCTGGTCGTCGCGGCGCGTGCAATTCGCGCGAACAACGTGCAAACGTTGGCGAATTCCCGCGGGTACACCCTGTGCACGGCTAATCTGTAAATGTCTCCATTGTAAATGGATCCTGTCTTGCCCGTGAATTGCCGTAACTCATCGCGAGTCGCGCGCTGAACGTGTCAGCGCCTAGATTAAGCCGCGCATTAAATCAGTTGTATCTGCGCCGGTGATTAATTTAAATTATTGTGCACGCGGGCTGGGAAATTCCGTGGCCAAGTTCGGCGTTCTCTGATTCAGCGTCTCTGCCTCCGTGTGAACGGGAGAGTGATTTGGAAATAGATGGAACAATACGCACGAGACAGTTTCGTTTTTTTTATCGCGAGTTAGTCAGAATTTTGCAGCGGCCATTGCACGAATTTCCAGTGTTTCGAATAATATTGACGGTATTTAAATACTTGTTTAATAATTAGATAATTGCAGTGATTGGTTAATAATTAGCAACAATTGTGAGATAATTCTGTGAAAATAGATCGTGCAGTAATAAAGCGCGAAGCTTCCACTTTCGCAGTTCTGATGTGATTTATTTTTCACACTTGTAAAGGTACTCTGTTATACGATACTATTATTAGTAACAATAATAATACTATTATTTTTAATGATAGGCCAGTTAAATTTTTGTAGACTAGTAATTCTAATTATTAGAAATTGGGAAATTCGAATGTCTTTCCGCCGCAACCGTCTTCAGATTAGATTATTCGCACGAGAGTAGAAAAATTGATCGAAATCCCGATTAATAATAAACGTGAATGGCGGATCGATACGAAGATACGTAATTTCGAGTCAGAGTGTCAGAGATGAAACTCGCAGTTGTTCGACTGGGGCGAGGACACGATCGAAACGTTCCTGAACCGTAATCGATTATGTAATTCGAGTGAAATTAGCCCGTAGTGTGTTCCTCATAAATAGACTTGGGTGGAAGTTCTTGAAAGTTGGAGGATCCGCGAGAACGGTCCAAAGTTCCCTGAACAGTCCGTGCTGTATTCACCTTCTCTGTACTTCCTAAAATAGGGACAAGTTCATCGAGATACTATGATTCTATAATCGAAACGCCGTAATTAATACGCGCGTCGGCTCTCGCGGTCGCGTTGCGAGAATTGAAACAAGACCAACAGAAAACGATTCTTTCATAATTCTGTTTGTTACACCCGACGCTACGAAGATGAATAAACTAATTGCAAGCGAACCTTTTAACTCTTTGCACTCGAACTGACTCTTCTGAGAAGACATCGTAACTTAACTTCTTGCCCTGGCACGTCGAGGATTTTTTGTTCCAAAATTGTAATATTTTCTCTACTTTAACACTAGAACTACCAAAGTGGTCAAAATGACTAATTCATAATTTTTCTTTTAGATATACTACAAATGCAAAACAGTGTATTTTTAGAGGTTTAAATGACTTTTTATAAAATGCATGAATAAAAGTTTGTGTATTCTATTTTCACTTTAATATCTCTGATGAACATTCTATGCTTTAGTCCTTGGTTGTTCCAGCGTATATTCAAGTATAACCCAGGCAAAATAAATAATAAATTTATTATTCTTCTCAATAATTTCTATCCAACGATGTCATACCGACGAGTTCGAAAAGAAAGCGACGAAATTATTTTATACGGTTTGGTATTTGGTCACTCGTTACGGTCCGCAATCAGTTGCCAGCGCAAGTGGTTAAATCTAGCCAACAATTCGGGTTTCCTTTTCTTTATAATTATAACGTAAAGACAATTATAATGAACGTGTACATTTGGTGTTGTATGATAACAGTATAATACCTGAACAGACATAAGACGAAGAAAAAAATTTCAGAAGAAGGAATTTTCGAAGACAGCCCTAAATGAGTCAATCGACACTCATAATAATTCACATAATTCGGAACAAGTCGCATAAAACTAGACTTTTCATTGCTTCTTACGAAAGTTTAAAAAAACGGCAGAGGACATTATTATTCCAGAGACTAGGAAACCAGCAATGCTTTAAATTTAAACGATATCACTAGTTGGAATGATACGACCAACAAAAAATTTCGTTAAAATGTTAAATATTCGAATGATCGCTGTATCATTTTACTTGAAGTAAATGATGCCTTGTAAATAAATTGCTGGTAGATGATGTGTGAAAAAAAAGATTTTTGTCGAGGGTAAAGGGTTAACGATATCGAAAATCAAGCAGAGAGAAGGAGAGCTCGTCGGAGAGAATCCCCGCTGAAAGCATAATCGAAGACGTACTTTTATCAGAGGAAGGATCCAAAATGCAAACAATCGTCACGGGACGATGAATAAGGGGAAGAAGCAGATCCGTGGCCGCTATTGATAACGCTAGACCATCCGCTGTTTGCGCAGATTAAATTCATCGATCGATCGTGCCACGCGAAACGAAAGCCTCTCTGCACAACGTGGAAGATGGCTACGGTTCTCTCTCTTTCTCTCTCTCTCTCTCTCTGTCGCCACCGTTCCAATAATCCTCCCATACGCCGTTAAATCGTATAATAAACGCCGTTCTCTCCATTCTCCCCTATAAAATATCAAATCCCCGGTAATGGCGAAATGTCCAAGAAAGTATAACTCAAGATTAAACACACGAAACTTCTCCTCTCTCCTAATCCTGTCTCTCTGGCGCATCGTAAATATATACAGGGTGTTTCGTAACTTGTGGGACCTTTGGGAGCTGATTGTACGCCTAAAAATAATGAAAAAAAATCAGATAAATATGTGTCCCATCTGTCTTCTTTTATGAGAGATAATGAATTTTATAAACAGAGCAAACTCTAGTAAGCTAGTGTTACCAGGGATGGTATATTCAATTTTCATAATAATCACAATTGGGATGAAGAAAACCACATGTTATTGTCCATTCAAAACATCAACACCAGTTTAGTTTAAACGTATGGGCAGGAATAATTGATAAATTTTCAATTGGACCTTTTTTTCTTGATGGGAAACTAACTGGCACAAAGTACGTTGATTTTTTGACCACGCGTTTACACGAAATATTAGAGGAAGTTCCAGTCGGTATTAGACTTCGTATGCGGTTTATGCACGATGGAGCTCCGCCGCATTTTAGCCGAGTGGCTAGGCAATTTTTAAATCAACACTTTGCAAATAAATGGATTGATCGTGGAGGTGCTATTGCATGGCCTGCTCGTTCTCCGGATTTGAATCCATTAGATTTTCATTTGTGGGGACGTTTAAAATCTATTGTACACGCAACATCGATTGAACATGCTGAAATACCACGAAATAGAATAGAGCAAGGCTTCCGATAAATTCGAGAAACACCAAGAATGATAGAGAGAGTAACCAGATGAATGACAAGACGCGTGCAGCCGGTCATTTCGAGCATCTTTTGTGAAAATTCATTATATCTCATAAACGAAGACAGATATATATATTTATATGACATTTTTTTCATTATTTTTAAGCGTATAATCAGCTCCCGAAGTGGGTCCCACAAGTTACGAAACATCCTGTATATAATTTTTGTGTATCGCGTGTTGTCGGATCGATGGCTCAGGAGGAACCACGAAAAATAGCAAAACTGTTTCCTATTTCTCATTCTACTCACGATCAGTCAGCAACTTCTAATCACGAATTTAAAATACACGACTCGGAGTCTCTGTTGGAGTATTTCAATTTCCTAATTGAAACGTTGGTCTCCAAGAACCAACCAACGGTTGGCGGGTCGATACCAGCTCGCACTTCGTTTTAATTCAAGCCTCGGAGAGCCAGTCACGATCCCTCCGCGATAAGGCGTCGAACGAAGATTTAGTTTTCAATTTTGGTTTAGGGAGTTTTTTCTTTTTTTTTTTTTTTTCACTCGATGTACCTTTTCTCGATGCGCAGCGAACAGAATTTTCCTCGTGGACGTTTCTCGTTTATCGTCATTGATTCGGCGTGAAGAGGATCGTAGGGGGAGATCGATGCTCGTTCGTGATCGATGCTCGCGCGCGATTCCGTGGATTCTTGCCTCACTGTGGTTCCGTTCGACCCTCGGCCTGGGTCAGGCCGTTGACCGGCTCGAAAGAAGGACGAAGCTGACGAGAATCGCGTCGACGAACCGTGCAGTCCGGCTGCATCGACACTCGTCAACGTATCCACAGTGCCGATTAATCACCTCGCCCCGGTTTCGACAAGACGCGCCACCCCCGTATCGGCATCAGAGTTCATTTCACTTGCGTACTTCCTCCGTACCGATACTCCACGATACTCTTTTTTCTACTCTCGATTCTCGATTTCTGCGAATTTTCACTCTTCGAGAATGTCTTTTTTTTTTTTTTCTTTTACTCTGAATTGCTGGTCATTTTCAGTGTTCGACTCTCGACTCTCGATCCCTGAATTAATTTTAATTTTCTTTCTTGCTCTCGACTCTCCGTCTCTTTTGGAAATTTACCGAATTCTCCCCGTGTGACAAATTACATATATTTCCATAAATTATATATTTTGATACGAGCGTGAGAAGTTGCTTCGCGGGACTGTTGTTGCCGGGTTTGCCGAGCAGATGGTGGTCCGGGGAGACACCGTTTATGCACTCGACCGCGAACGAGTCCCTCAAGTTCGCCAGTTACCAACTTTCTTACCCACCTCCCCTCCCCCCCTCTTCGGCGCTGACCTACTAAAAACGATGCATGTTCGACACACGTTTTTCACCGTTGTGCACCGCCGCGTCCTCCGATCGACTGTCGAAACCTTGTCTTCTCCGTATCAATATCGTACAACTTATCTGCCGACCGTTTCCATTTATCTTTCTCCTTTCTCCCTCTCGTGCGTGTCCCACTTTCTTTGTTGTTTCGTTGCTCTCCGAAAGAAGAAGAAAGAGGACAGGATACAGACCGCACAGGATTTCCCCTGCAGAACAGAGACACGATCCGGAGTTTCGTTCGTTGGCTCACAATCAGCGACCTGTGCGTGAAAAATCCGTCTGACACGTTGACTCGAGCTAAAGATCGTAGAAAATTTCGCGATCACGTGGAAATTGTAAAAATTGCAAATCTACTCGGTGATTCGGCGTGAGACTCGCGTGAATGTACGACGTTCGTTCCCACTGGATATTTCGCTATACACGCTCGATTGAACGCACCGAACGCACACAGTTTATTTGCAACGAAATCCATCTGAATCCATGAAAACGCACTGTACTCATTCGTAGGTGGATATATCGTCGCCTCGCTGGTTCCTTCGTCCCTTCCAAAACTTTCCCTTCTTCTCCGGTCGTCTGTCACAAATATTCAAATCGCGCCTTCCGGCGCGAGAAACTATTTTCAAAAGCGAAACAAACAAGGTCAAGGGGCTTGTTCGGTTGTTCGATTCCTTCGTAGGTCACTGGATTTTTCGAAAAGAGAACGAGCGAGTGTCGGAAGAGCCGCGCGATCGGGGGTGGGGGGGGGAGAAGATCGAGGATCGGAGTCGGCTCAGGAGTCGCGCGTGCCTTTCATTCTCGAGACGACGAGCGTAGACGTGGTCGTAGCAACCCTTTCACCACGCATTACCGAGAGATGGTGGCGACCCGGGTGTTGAACCTTGGCGGAGAGCTGCATCGGCATCGGCAATTATCGTCGTAGCAGCGATCGATCGTTCGACGCGGCCTCCTCCTCGAGACTTCGTGCATGCCCCGTCATCCTCTCCTTCGGGCTCTGCCTCCGGCCGTTGTGTTTCCCCGCGTATTCCGCCGTATTCCGGTTCAACACTCCCATAGCCGTGACCCTGTTCCGTCCATGTTGCCTTAGGTCCCGCGGCAGCCGGGCGAGCTCGATTTTATCGAGCTGAATGACAGACGACGATAGGAAGGGACTTCATCGTGGACAGGTTGAGATTGATACGGGGGAAGCTGGCTGACGTTCATTGATTTCCTCGGTTGTCGGTCGGGAAGAGAGACGGGAAGGCTTTTCGGGCCAGAGATTTATCAGCAGGCCGGGGATGGATTCTGCCTGTTTTAGATTTTAGAAACGAGAAGAAAGAAGAAATAAATCGAAGGACGGGGTTGAAATCGACTGGCTAGGCCAGAGAGAAACGCGCGTTCCCGTTCGCCGGATCGGAACGGGTTGGGAGAACGAGTCGGAAACGCGATCTAGCGTACGCCGGTCTTTCCTCTTTAACGCAATCAATCTCTCTCGCCACCGTTATACCCCCGAACGCACGCACGCACGCACGCACGCACGCACGCACGCACACACGCACACAGATGGAAATAACCGGGCGCGCGCTCTGTTCCTTATTTAAGCGGCGATCGGCCCTCGAGGCACGCTGCCCTCGCTGCTATCGCCGGGATCAGTCAACTCTCCCAATTATCCGTGACGTTCGTAACTTATCCGTCTGGTTAAATCACCGAGCCAATGAATTTCGAGCATTCGATAACGACCGAGCTAACCGATCGCGATAGCTCGCCACATCCATCACACCTGCCCCGTCGATCCAACAACGATCGAGAACAGAAACCCCTATCCCGTTTCTCTTCCAGTTGCCATTTGCCAGACCGACTGTCTCACACACACTCTCTCTCTCTATCTATCTATCTATCTATCTATCTATCTATCTATCTACGACTCTCGGCCCGGTCGAGATTCGATACTAATTCGCGTACTAATCGACGCACTACGATTCAAAGCGTCACGAGCAGTCAGGAGGGAAAAGTGTAGTTTGACGAAGGGAGAAAGCAAAGGAGAGGGAATATTGGACAGAGGGTAGGTCGCTGCGGAGAATCGCCGTGTTTTCGCGTCGGTGGAACCGCGACGAACGGGATATACGCACCCGACGCTGAATCGCGGCCAACTGAGAGGGAGAAAACAGCCCCCTAGATACTAGCGTCGGTTGGCCGTGTGGCATCGCGCACGGAAACCCCCTGCGCAACGTTCGCCCCCCCAACCCTCGTGCACGGGAGCGCGGCCAGCACCCGAGAGTTTCCGCGGCGAAACCGGGAATCTCTCACCTCCCTCGTCTTCGATGCTCACTTTCGCACTCGTTCGCGATTAGCGGCGAGTGATGTATGTGTGTGTGTGTGTGTGTGTGTGTGTGTGCGCGCGCGTGGGTGGGTGGGTGGGTGGGTGGGCGCCTGCGAGGCTGTAATGCCTCGGTGAAGTGGGATCACATCGAATTTCTTCGAATGGATTTCCTCGCCGGAGAGAAATTGGTCGAGAAGAGTGGTGGTAGATCGGTGAAATTTTTGCGATCGTCAAGGTTTGCCGAGGGTCAAGGCATTTGACGTATATTTAGGTTATTATTGTAAAATTATTCAAATACTAAATACTCGGGCACTACGATGTAATATTGTGGGGATATGATATGAATAATATTTATTTAATGAAAATTATGACAATGGAACGACAGAGTAATTGAACAAGACAAATTACTTTAAAACAACGCGAATTAAAAAACTCAAATAAATTCTTTCGACGACACTATTGACACTTTTTAACAGTTCTCTTTCAACGCTCTCTCAAGACTCTCACGACTCTGGTCTTTTTTTTTTTTCTAAAGAAAAGGAAAACTCTAAGGCTCTGTGCCTACGTTGGACTTCTCACATCACATTCATATTTTTATCATATTTCTATGATCAACAAACAAGTCATCTGTTATATTTAATAACTAAAATTATAACTACAGATTAATAACCGACAACTGATAATACTACAATATTGTGACATAATAATTTCGTAGTAAGGAGTGACACAAATAACGAACCTGGGCTTATTTTGAAGTTCCAAGCTTTTCAAAATTCGAATGTCTAAGGTATTAGGCTAGAAAAATTCGAGAAATCGCAACATTTTTCGATGAAAAAAGTCGTACGGCAAATTTTCAGGGGTCGTTGGTTTCAATTTTCTTACGTCACGTGCGCATGCTGGAAAATAAAGACATTTATCTTCTCGAAGATATTGTAAATTATCATAGTACGTAAAAGCATGGAATTTTTTTTAATAACTGCATCTATAATAGATTTGAAGACTGAGGCCGCCATCCCTTTACTGTGCAACTTCTTTCTTTCGCCAATTTATCGAACTTTGACCATCGGGTGAAAATGTTACGATTTCATGAACTTTCGTCACTTAAACTTGACATTTACAGTTCAATGAAACGAAAGAAGGAAAGAAAAAGACCAAGTATCAAATTTTCAAATTTTGTTACAAAGGGGAAGCTCAGTCTTCGAATCCATCGTAGATTCAATCAAGAAAAAAATTTTTCAATCTCGAACTACATACTACGAGAATTTCTAACATTTTTAGGAAGAAAAGTGTCTTCACTTATTCATTTGCTGCGTGATTCTATAACAAGCTAACAATAGGCTTCGAGCTTCAACACGAGTCCAGTATTATCGTTCTACGACAAGTTTAAATATTTAGTGCTTCAAATACTAATGACGTGGTTCGTGTAACATTCGAATTACGACACTTTTCAAGTCCGATGACATCAGACATCAATTAAAAGATTGAAAAGATACGTGTATATCTTTTTTCTAAATCTTTTCAAAAGTAGTATCTTGCAAGATACAGAGACCAAGAGAGAGAGAGAGAAAGAAAGAGAGAGTTCCTCCTCTCCTTTGTCGTCGTCCCTTGGAAAACACATTTGCCCGACGAGGGAGAAGAAAAAAATATAAAACGCGAGAGCCTTCAGACGAGCCCACATTCTCGAGCATCCCTTCAAAGGCAAAAACCTATCAAAGAAAAACGTATCGATAGAGAGGCAAAGCAGTCCCGTTCAACAGACACGTTCGCCGCGAAAGCAAGGGAAGGTCCCGATGGTTCTCGTATCAGGAGAGACTTTCGTTTTCCCCCTCACCCCCCCCAAGAAGCGGGGAATAAATAATAAAGTCGTGGAACAGTCGGTACAAATGGACTCGGCGGCGGTAATTAGCAGATGAAGCTCGTCAGTTTCGGATTGGCAGCCACGTCGAGCCGCTCAAAGCGAGGTGGAGACTGAAAACCGAAATATTTTGAGGTTTAGGTATTATACCCAGAGACTGAAACCGAAATATTGCGAGGTTTAGGTATTATACCGGTATTTACTCCCATATTATCGTAATACAACACTGCTATTTGGGAAATCGGCTTTAATACCGGTATAAAACGGTCATACCGGTATTTTCATACGTATTTTATCGGTATTTGATGTCCACAACGGTAAAAATATTGAAATATATAAGAAACCGACACGGTACCGCTTTACTGACGAAAACACATTTTTCATTTTTCTACGTACAGTGACTCTCATTAATATTCGGACATCATGCTATTCAAAATATTCTTGTGGATTTCGATTGTTTGTAATAGCAAATTTGGATTAATTTTTTAATAATATAATAGAACAGTCATTATAGTTTATAGTAAGGTAAATTTTATTTATTTATTGCACATACTTTT